ATGAACAGCTTGCTCTCCAAGGAGGAGCCAGGATGGATTTCTTGTCTTAAGGAAGTGCTTAATAGTTGCACTGAGGAATAGTTTATTTTGAGCTATATGCAGACTTCCCCTCTCCAGCCTTTTCAACATGCTGGTTGCTTTGGTTTTTTTAAAAGCATAAATTATTAGTCTGAATAAATGGCCAATAATGTTGGTGGATGCTTGTTAAAACACTTCACCTTCTGAAACATTCATGGAGTCAGTTTTCAAGTAATAGCATACAACCTAGTGATTTTATTACCAAAAAAAGAAAAGTCTCACTGTTAACCCACTACGTACAAATAACAGAAAATTAAATCCAGCTGTGCAGGGAGGATCTCACAGGAACTTTTTTCTTTTTATTTTTTTTTTTTTTAAACAGAGAGCAAATCAGAGTAGGGACCTGCTTGCCCAGCAGAGTAGCATGCTTGAGTCTTTGTAATGGTGTTTGGCAGTGCCACATGAGCCCTCTCACCAGTCTGGGGACAGCTCACACCAGCAAGCACAGAACTAGTGAGCTAGTGGAAACAGGGAACACAGAGATGAGCACAGCATTGCCTTTTTTAGAACTACTCTATTCCTTCTCTTCCAAATGCAGCCAAAAGCCTTTTGCTACAACCATGCAGCCAGATAGAGTAGTGAAAATCAGACTGCCCCAAAGCAGTATTTCCCCAAAAGACAAGAAGAGAGGCACAGGTCATCAAACCAGTGCTTCCAAAGTGGGAAGGACTCAGAGAGACATTACTACAGAAGGGAGAAGAGTGATTTTTTAGAGGGATCAGCCAAAAGTAAACTCTGTTCAGAATATTCATTATGGAAGTTTCCCATTCCAGTGAACTCAGTTCTCTGCCCAAACGCCTCTTTCCAACTGAGACAACACAGTCTCTCAGGGAGATCATAGCCATGCCTCAGGAAAGATCTTTTTTTTGTCTTCCAAACAAAAGGTTTGTTTTTTCACACATTAAATTCAGTTGCTTCCTGTCTCCTGAATAGCATGCCCAGGATCTATACTGCTTCCCTCTGTGATATGAACACACTCAGTTCTTGCTGAAGAATACCGCCTATCTTTCAACACTTCCTTCATAGTCCTGAAACACTTGAGGTGCTGACAATTGACTCTCCTTAGTAATCTATAGTGTTGGGTGAAGCACTTTTTAGAATTTTTGGTGGTAATGTTTTCACAAATTTGCTGCTGGTTCATATTTCTAGACCATAAGTACATAATTTGCTCTCGTGTGTTTTCAGGGATGTAGGTAGAAACTATCCTTCCACACAGGCTCTGCACTGTACATATATGGAAATGTTCCTGTGCATAGGTGACATTTATCTTTGACAATAGTCACAGTAATCAGTTCCAGTGCAGTAACTGGCTTTGACAGTGATGTTTTTCATCCATTATTGCTTAGCAAAATCCTCCTTGCTCTTTTTTGTGTGCTTCAAGGATGCCTTTTTCAACCCTGCCACGGACAAAGTCCCTTTGTTTCATCCTTTCATTTTGGTTTTGGAAACACTTTTTGATAGTAGGCTTTGTACTTGAGCCAATGTTTAGGTATTGATGCCATTATCCATTCTTCCAAAATAGGATGTTGACTCCAGCTATTTCCTTCTTTCCACCCATTTGTTCACTGAGTGAGAAGTGTTGTCTTGTGCTGCACCATGAGTGCAAGGTCACAGAATCACAGAACAGGTTGTGTTGATAGGGACCACAGTGGGTCATCTGGTCCAACCTCCCTGCCATGCACACAGGTATAGTTTCATTTTCCTCTTCTGTGGAGACCTTGAAAGGCACTCTCAGTTAGAGAGAGGCGAGGGGCCTCTCTCTCAGTTATCTCCTATTGATAACAAATCCTGTTCTTCAAGTCAGAACCATCCCTGTCTTACTCCAAACCCGTGCCCTCTCCCTGTCTGTCAGCCTTTTGGTCACTCCCACCCTGTTCCCTTGTTAGCCCCCATGCCCCAATCCCACTCTTGTGACACCCCCATGTCTCCTTGTAATTGGTCTCTGATACTTCTTCCCCCGCCCTGCTCATCCCAGATATCTGACCCAAAGCCCTAAACCATTGCCTGGGCTTTTTGTCTTTGAATGCTGGACTGTCTCATGCGTGGCTGAAATAAACATCTCTGTAAAACCCCTGCAAAGGCCCATCCTGTTTCTTCACCTGCATCACTTCAGCAGAAACCTCGACCACAACACTCCTCCTTCACTGTGTAACTTCAAAAGCAATTGCACAAGCCCATAGTGCAGTTCAGTGACATTTTGAGCTGTTTCTCAGGGTGTCTGACTTGCATTTCTCTCTCTCTGAGGATGTGATGACTAAGAAAAAATTAAATTTAATTGGCACAAACATCAGATAAAAATAACTGCTCATGGTTGCCCATTAACTCATTCTGCATGAAAACAGTAACCAAATCCTGTGTACTGTAGAGCACCCTAACTCTATTTTCTGTATTAAACACCCCAATTCTATTCCAAATTATAATTATATAATTATCTGTATTTCTTTTATGCTGATTTTCTAATGACACTGCATAATTCAAACAAAATTAAACTCCAGACACAGAAGATGTTGCTTTACTTTAAATGCACTACTGAGCAAAAGAGGACTGTCAAGTCAAGTCTGGGCTACCTGAGCCATGTGATTCTTCACTCAACATCTGCACCAAAGTAGATAATAGCATGTCTGTGTCATGTACACGTTCAGGGAAATTAAACAAAAGGGGTTTAATCTTATTAAAACATTGGTTTGCACCCAGCCAGGTAAGCCTTCTGATTTAGTCCATCATGCAGTTAGACAGCATTAATGTTATTGCCAAAAGAGGGACAATGAGAAACCATACAGCTATAGGAGGACAAAATGTGAAACTGCAGCAGCCCAAGCTTTAATTGGCCTTAACTTCTGTGGAACCACACCTTAAGTCACAGAACAGAAATCACTTTTTTTTTAGTGTCATCATATATTGGTTTTAATAAATTCTTAACACATAGGGGCACAAAGCAGGAAAAAAAACCAAACCAAACCAAACAAACAAACAAACAAAAAAAAAATAAAAACACAACCAATCCTGTGTCTCATGCTCTGAAAGGATTGGACTTAAACCAGTTGTGTCTGCTTCATGCTGGTGTGAGCTGGCCCACTGCATGGAAAATCAAGATTCCCATTGTTTATGTTCAAAATCCAGCAATTACTAGTGCTAAGTGGCATACTGCTTTGCTATTGAACTTGATAAGACTAACTTCCACCCAGCAAAAAAATATCCACACAAACCTGTAATAAAGATAATTTTACACACTAGACTCTCCTTGCTTTGCATTTCCTGCCAGTCTCATATCAAAGAGTTGAAAGAACAGCTGGAAAGCTCTTATGCATAAAAGAACAATCTTTTCTGCAGTCACAAGCCTCAGCTGGTTTTTTTCATATAAATTCTATTTCAGAATTGGCAGGATTACAGGTTGATAAAAAAATCAGAAAAACTAGATAAAAACATGGGGAAGAAAAAGGGGTTTTTTTTAAGAAATTCAATATTAAAGAAATGAAGATTCAGGAAGACTAGCTGGTAAAATAGGATGAGTTAAATAAAATATGCTAAACATAGTCTAGGTCAATACCTCACTATAGGATATCCAGGGCTCCAACACAGGTGAGTGAATATTTTACAGATTCCTGAATTTCTGAAGGCTGTGTGAAGTCATCAACGACTGCATAGTTTAGTCCTTTTGTACAGTTTAATTTGTAGAGATTTACCTAGTTGTTGCTGCTGCAAGGAATATAATTTTTCATTGAACTAGGACATATTTTTAGAAAAAGCCTCTAGGACTGATTCGAGGACTTCAAGTGAAGCAGAACCATTGTGCCCCTAAGGTATTGTTCCAGTGGCTTCTCACCCTCACAGTTAAGCATTCATGTTTTCAGATGCTTGGCTTTAGCTTGCCAGCACTTAGAAAGAATTTCTATCCCAACAGGTTTCCAAACTTTTCCAAAATTTTAAAATACCTTTATATGGAAAATTATCTTCCTCTTTAAATGCTGCTTTGATGGTCAGACACAAGCCTTTCACAGAATCATATATAAATAGAATATCCTGAGTTGGAAGGGACCCACAAGAATCATCAAGCATGCAACAGCTTTAGCTAGCACTTGAGCTAAATACTCAGGAAACAGCCAGAGCTGCCAGGAGTAAGGGAGAGGAGGACTTAGGAAAGTGGAATGTGCTTAAGAAGTCAGGAAGTTTCATAGTGCTAATAGAACACTCATAAGCCGACAGAAAGCACTTTGGACAAAGAAATGAACAGTTTGGGTCAGAAGCTTAATACTGGCCTTATTCAAGACATAATGCAGCTCTAGCTGCTGTCTGAGCTGTAGCAACGTGTGACAATTTCAACTCTTTGATGTTTCTGGTATTCATCCAGAACTCTGAAGTGAAGAGCTTTTACTTAAAAACTTCTCTTGCAAGGTGTCGGCCTAGGGTGATATCTTTGGCACAAAAACCTCCCATCTGATAGCCTAGTTCTGGGCAAGGCAGTAACACAATTTATGGAAGTGCAATATTCAATAATACTAATCCCGTAATTGTACCTTTTGTTTGTGTCTTTGATGGGAATACTGAAAAAGGCTGGATCTCAGACTTTGTTAACCTGCCATGTCACTTCACATCATGCAATTCACCTGTTTTATCTCTGTTTTTATGGACATGGCTGAACCCCCTTTACATCAATAACACAGTTAATTACTAAGAGATCTTTTTTTACTGTCTCAGGAGGACAACATCTCTCAATTAATGAGCTAGAGTTAAGTGGGAAAAACGAAAAAAAAGTCAGAGAAACATAAATCAGTATGTCTTTTCCCTCAATTTTATGTTCTTCACTTGTACAAATTAACCAGAAAAGGTCAGTGCCGGGGAATTAAGTTTATTTTAAGAGTTCTCTAAATAAGAAACCAAGACTAGTTCAAAAGAAGGTTATAAACAGAATCAAGCTGTCAGCATCAGTTTTCTGAAAGGTGTGACTGGGGTAGGTCTTTGTAAGGGGCCAGACATCTAACAATGCCCTTTGTAACAGGCAGTGTAGGTTGTTTTAGCATCTAGGAGAGTGGCATGCTTTGGGCCTGACCAGACAGGTTTATAGGTTTACATAACAGTGAGTGAATGAGGCCCATGATGGGTCCAAAATGTAGTGAAGAAATCTATTGGTTTTGTTGGGAAAGTCTGGAGCATGAGTGATAGGTTTTAGTCTATTTCATAGCCAAGGCTTACAGTCTTTCTTTACTATAGGAGTGCTATTAAGTGGTTCAATAATTTTATTAAACTGGGCTAAAGCTTGACACACCTTGGCTGCATCTTTTCATTTGGGTGCTTCCAATTTGTCCAAGTAGTGTTGTGAAGGTCCATTTGCTCCAGAGGAGGAAGATATGCATCAGGTTTTCTGGTGAATACAGGAGGCTGTAGTCAAGTTTTGTTTTTTTTCCTGAAATTCAGTTGTAGTGTAGAAAGGAAGACAGGGCCTAGCTTTTCCTGGTACGGTTTTGGAAGCTTGGTTGGCTGACCAGCCCACCCCTGGTAAGATAATTTGTGTGCAGTGAGGCCATCAAATGAAACATGATTGTCCTTGTATTTTTGAATTTTATAATATAGTGTTTCACCAGAGGAGGTGGCTCATCACAAAATCACAGAATTACTAGATTGGAAGTGACCTTTAAGATCATTGAGTCCAACCCTTGCCCTAACACCTCAACTAAACCATGGCACT